CCTTATTCCTTAATTCTTACCTCTAATCATTTGCAAGAGCGCAAATATTTTTTGTCTTTGTTTTCTTATGAGTTTTCGGTAGAAATTATGAGAGGAGATAAACTGAACCATTGTATAGTATCGTATTGCAACACTTGATTGATTATTGCTAATGCTATTTGAGCACGCTGGAGTAATTTATCAAGCGAACGTCGGGTCTTGGGTTCTGGTTTGTCTCGCCTGACTCCGGTGGCGATTTCTGGGAGTGGAAAGATGTTAAGTCCTCCTCGCACATTTACTGAATACGGTTACCAAATAAAATATTTACCTTGATATTTGAGGGAAAATATATAATATTTTAGTTTACAGTTATAAAGAAAGTTAACTTTCGAGTTATAAATAACGCGAGATTTTACCCAACGCAACTCCTTATGTGGTGTTAATCGTCGATATTTCACAGCGCTCTGGCGACCACGGGATATATTCTCTCACTGCTCTTCATCTCAAGGGAGAATTTCCTCTTCATTTTAACTGCCTCTATAGGCGCCTCTGACGACTGCATTAAGGCTACACGATCCGGGGGTGATATACGCCGGCTAATGCTAGGACGCATCCGGGCTAAGGCAGAAAAACTGACACACCAAGTATTCGCACGAGGTCTAGAGGAAGTCAGAGTGTTGGGGCAATCCGTAACCGATCAATCTGACTGTCGCACTGGGAGAGGCAGCTCAAGGCATCAACTGATGTGACTGCAGTGCCTCTGACCCTCCGCTTTTCCAGTGGCAAGACTTTCGACACTAGCTATATAGATAAGTCGAATTCAGCCGCTGCCTGGAGGGGAATTCTAGCGACCGGCTGCTCTGATCGGTAGTTTTCCATGCTTTCTCTTATCAATACTAGGCGAATGCCGGAGAAGTACCCTAGGAAACGGGCAACGGACTGCGCGCGATCCTTCCTTCCCATTACTTGTCCTATTCTCACCCCTTACTTACACACACACACACACACACACACACACACACACACATGCACTACACTGCCACACATGCGGTGAGACCGGTCGGGAGCTTAGAGCTTGTTCAGGTAGAGGCGGTGCCTCGCTGGTGGGAGATACCTGGTTGAGGAAAACCCCGCTAGCCAACGGTAGGTCGGCGCCGGATCTCACCATCCAGCGGGGCACGATCATTGCCGCCGCCTGATGTAACACATACCCTACACTTACGGGAATAATGACCATGAACAGCTAAGGCGCTGGAATTGTATGGTAATCACTCAATCCTCTGTCCACCGCAAGCGGACGTACGTCGCCTAATGCGAAGGAGTAGTGCATGCAGCGCCTGGCGTGGCCGGGAGTCCCTGTAGCGCGGCGCGCGGTCAACCAACGCTGCGGAGGCCGCGCTGGGGGCGTTGCGTGTGGTCAGCGCCGGCCCCAATTACGCGGGGCCTTGCGGTCGACGCCGACGCCGCCGACGCCGGCGCCGCGGCGCCGACGCCTGCCTGAGCGCGCGCAAGGTTGGGCGAGCCGGCGCGCGGGTCGGGGCGCCGGCCGCACCGCGTGGCCTTCTCCTGGCTGGCCTTGCCTCCGCCTCCGCCCCCGCCTCCGCCAACGGGGAGTGAGTGGGTGGACGACGCAGCGGCGGCTGCTGCCATTTCACTCCTCATTCACCGCAATAATAGTATTTCATTTCATGAGTGGATGAAATAGCCCATTATGTGCGAGTTAGTTAATTACGCACGAGCGCGGTAGCGTGAGTGTACAATTACTAGATAGCGGATTTCACCCTTTTTGACCTTTTTAAATTTTTTTCCTCAGAATCACAGTCTGTCGGTATATTAGTTCGTTTCAGTATCAATGTATTCACATAATGAATATGTATGGTGTCTTTATTGGAATTGGTTGCCTATAGTGAGATAAATGCCTATTTTCGTTTTCCGAAGACTTGTTTTACATTAGAATGTAAGGTTTCGACAAACGTAACTTTAAACTCGTGCTACGTAATAATGTAGATTTGAAGCATCAATTGACAAACCCAACTGCTTCTCGTAAATGCAAAGTTTCATTAAAAAGTTGGTATAATTTAATAAATGCCTACGAAATCCTAATGCGGTTGCTTTGCATGCCACGAATATAAAAGAGGTATATGCTTTTGACGAAGACGAAGCTGTCACTATTTCTGAAGCAAAAAATGCCTTAGTATCTCTAAAGCTTGCAGAAAATCTGTCTTATATTGCTATGCATTTCGGTGAAATCCCAGGTATTTTAACAAATTGAGAAGAGAGAAAAAATTCCTCTTTTGGATGCGGTAACTACAATTCGAAATCTTCAAACTCTGTAATTTAAACCAAGTCCTAGGTCACATCGGTAAAGAAGTAGCTGCAAAATTTAAAACGTAGTGCATCGTAATTCGGGTGGCGACGATGGCGTTTTGCCACGATGGCAAAAGTCAGTCATACACTATGTGATTAACAGTATCCGAACACTTGGCTGAAAATGACGTATTAGTTCGTGTCGACCTCTATCGGTAATGCTGGAATTCAATAGTGTGTTGGCCGACCCTTAGCCTCGATGACAGATTCCACTCTCGCGTCATACATTCAATCAGGAGCTGGAAGGTTTCTTGGGCAGTGGCAGCCCATTCTTCACGGAGAGCTGCCCAGAGGAGAGGTATCTCTGTAGGTCGGTGAGGCCTGGCACGAAGTTAGCGTTCCAAAAACATCTCAAAGTTGTTCGACAGGATTCAAGACAGGACTATGTTCAGGCCATGTACACGTAGGCTTCCGCGGCTCGAGTCCATTACTTGTAGGCTGTCCGGGTGACGCCGCGTCGTTGGCAGATAGGCCGACGTTTCGCCTGTCATGTCGCAGGCTTCTTCAGGGTACTGACAAGTAAAGCTCCGCCTCCGGTGTTATATCTTATTCGTGCTAGTTCCGTTCTTGTGTGGTGAATCCGTTCTCGTACTAAAGCCGAACCCGCCCTCCGCAAAATGCGAGTGGCAGCTGGAGATTGTACGTGGTGCTTAATGATGACGAAATCCGGAATAACGTCTTCATCCCTACACCTCAGTAAGAAGGCCAGTTGGCACAGGAGGCGTGCTCTTTTGTCTGGAAGGTCTGTAAATTTCTTGGTGTCTTGAAAAATATTCTCCCCGTAGAGATTTAATAAATGTACACGTAGGCTTCCGCGGCTCGAGTCCATTACTTGTAGGCTGTCCGGGTGACTTACTGAGGTGTAGTACTTCTTACTGAGGTGTAGGGATGAAGACGTTATCCCGGAATTCGTCATCATTAAGCACCACGTACAATCTCCAGCTGCCACTCGCATTTTGCGGAGGGCGGGTTCGGCTTTAGTACGAGAACGGATTCACCACACAAGAACGGAACTAGCACGAATAAGATATAACACTGGAGGCGGAGCTTTACTTGTCAGTACCCTGAAGAAGCCTGCGACATGACAGGCGAAACGTCGGCCTATCTGCCAACGACGCGGCGTCACCCGGACAGCCTACAAGTTATGTTCAGGCCAGTCCATGACAGGGATGTTATTGTCGTGTAACCACACGTGAAAGTTACAATCGCAAATTGGTCTTCAACAGTGGGAAGCAAGAAGGTGTTTAAAACATCAACGTAGGCCTGTGCAGCGACAGTGCCACACGAAACAACAAGGGGTGTGAACCTCCTCCATTAAAACACGACCACACCATAACAGCATTTTGGACGTGTCCAGATACTTTTTATCAAGTAGTGTATAATTCTGAACCCATAAAACAGTCTTCTATGTAATATGCATCTATGTGTTTATGTGATATAGAACGGTCGTTTTCAAGATACAAACATGTTTTGAGTGACAGGAAATCACAGTTTACTTCTGCACATCTTGAACAGTATTTAGTAACAAACACATGATGTTTGTTTGGCGCTTTCGCCTTGGCTTCAGCAGATACATATACTACTTATTATTAAAATATGTTTGCTTGAACGAGTTGTCATCTACGTAAGATTTACATGAACGGATAATTATTTCTTTGGTTGACATGTTAGGTAAGAGCACCAATAGTCGTCGTGTCAAAGGACAAATTATTTTAATCCTCAGATTATATTTCAAATAGAAAAAGCATTGTAATATTTATTTTCTGACCCCTAAAAGCTCTTACTTTATGATAAGTGCGTATTACTGGCTAAAAAAGCAACTTATCTACTTAATACATTTTTATACGCTCTAGAATCTGCAGTATATTTCACTAACACTTTCTACTTAAACTTTTATTATTGGGGGATATCGCCCCCCAAATTCCCCATTTTAATAATATAAAATCAACCCATCTATTTTTCAAACAAAAACTATATGTTAAATATGGCAGTATTTTATTAAAAAAAGAAAAAAATTAACTCACGTAATCGCTGAAACTTATAATAAGCCAATTTTTGATTCCCAAAACACGTGGATTTTGACTGCACTGTGGATTTACTGCAATTTTTAATAGGAGGACCTGACTCGGCCCACTGCGGAGAGATTTTTCTGGCGCACTATATTATGCGGGAAAGTAAAAAGATGATTGCAAAAACTGAGATCACAAATTTCTGCTTTCAAGATACTACATCACCACTACGTTTTCAATGTTAGGTTCGTTTTCTTTCAGTGCCAGTTCCATGCTGAGTCACTACGCAAAGTTAAATTTTTCGGTTGATAATTTTAGAGGGGAATTGTGTTCCTCAGACGAAATTTCTCCCAGTTGGTACCCAGCCCTAAAATTTTATTGGAAATCCAAAGTCTGTAAAAAAACAAAGTATTTTTCAGTCAAGGTGCAATTAGCTGAATCAAGGAATTGTCGAGAAAAGATAATAAAATGATAATTTTATAATAATATAACACCGCTTCGAGTCTTGGAAAATTAAATAAAATTACGGTGATCAACAGACTGCAACGAAAAAAAATACCTTTCTGCAAGAATCTAAGCGACTGAGGCCAAATGGAAAAATACTTTTTTATTGCTAATATTATGAGGTTCGTGGAAATGTCTTACCTGTATAAATTGAAAGAGCGGATAGAAAATGCTTGGTAGGTCTCAGTCACAAAGACATCACTTTGAACCAAAGGTATCCACTTCATGTCGAGAGACTACGTGGAATGTAGAATGCGAATGGTAAAGCCATCTGGCTGAGAAGTGAAGCTTCTGGGTTACTCCTTCGTCTATCGGCGCAGGAGTTCCGAGATCTCATAATCCTTGAAACATCACAATGTGGATGTAAGAGTAATAAATCTCGCAGTTTACAGTACATGTCAAGAACATGAAATAACTTTCCAGGGTGGAAATGATGCTGTGTAACTCTGCACAACAATTCACAAATCTAAATAGTTACTTCAAATCAAAGTCACAAAATAATTTTGGAAATAAAATTAAATTGTCTGTTCATTGACCGTATCTGATCTATTAGAGAAATTGCTAGCATTTCGGTCTCTGACCGCAAGCTCTTTCCGGACATCTTCCTCGCCCCTTACGTGCGCACACGCTTCCACGCATCACACTACCGCACTTGAGGGGAGATCAGTCGGCAACGTAGAGCTTGTTTCGGCTGGAGCGGTTCCCCGCTAGAGGAAGACGAAATATAGGTCGGGTCCGGATATCACTAATCTGTGTGAGAAGACCAATTTCACCTTCCGTGATAAAACATGCTCCACACTTCCGGTACTAATAACTATAGCAGTTGTCGAGCCCGGAAATACACAATCAAATACGAGTAGCTTAGTATATGAAGACCAACATAAAATATTACAAATTATGTAAAAACATACATTGATACATCAGGAGCATATTTAGGCTTGACAATGACCATAATTATATATCATCAATCTATGGAATATTTTGTGAATATTCTTCACCAACCTGACGTATTTAGAAAGATTAAAATAGATGACCTTAAAAATATCAAATATTTACTACCAGTAAATTTCGCACGCTCAGAGTTCTTGCGCACAAATAAAAATTCTGTAGTCCTCACCTGTGCCCGGGCACTCGGCCAAACATGGTTTGCGGTTGCCATTATTATGTCTATTTGACAGCCCGGGGCAGCAAATGACTGGGCATTGAATCGTGCGCCAACTGGGATGTGGCCCAATCATGTGGACGCAGCGCTACATTCTGGATGAGGATGCCAAGTGATCATCTATAATACCACGACTGACGCCCCTCGAAAGATTTAGCACAATGTGCGAGGTAAAAGCTAGTTTACACTGTCTTAAAAATAGCAATGAGTTCATTATTCACAGTGAACTTTGAATGTTCTTGAGACTACTATGTAGAGCTTGTCCTAACATCCAGGTAATCGACGTAACTACATAATTGAATTAATGTTTTGTATTTAATTCTGAACAGTACCTTATACAATAATGACTGATCACAGAATAGATACTCCTATAGATACTAATATGTATTTTGTGGTCAGATTGCACTTGTCTGTCTGAATACTATCTTAATGCTTTTCACTAATGAAATACTTAAATTCTAGTTTTTATATAATATCTTTTGTACACAATTTCATACAAAAACATTAAACACATATGTACATTATTCTCAACTACAATCACGAAGAGAATGAATATAATGAAATAATACTAGATAATGAATGTGCAAATAAATTAATGAAGAAATTTACCACTATTTTACGTAATATGTCTAACAACTGAAAAGACAATTTACCAAAAGAAGTATTATTATTATTATTATTATTATTATTATTATTGTGCGATTAATTATTATTATATTAATACATAATACGAGACATATTACCGGAATAATAATGAATATAATGTTTCTCTGATACAAAATGTGGAAAAATATTATTTATGGGGAGAAGAGCTCTTCTATTCTTAAAAGGACCGAATTTACATCGTTTACAATCAACAAATTCCCATAAGTACACGAGCGTGTTTTTTCGAATACATTATAAATAATTATAACCATTAAAACACCAAAAACTTTGCATATTAAATGCAAACTTAAAATTTAACAACGGTTGAGTTATTGCAACACAATTTTCTCCTGGTTTTGGCCTATGTAAAATATTGTCAACAACTTGTCAATGTAAAAATAGTGATACAAAATGGCACAGAATTTCTCGTATTAGATACTTTTCTAATCTCTTAATAAAATATGTTCAAAGATATATCCTTAAGTTCATGTCAATTTTTCAAAATTATGTAAGGTATAACAAATATGAACGAGACTGGTTGAAAAACATTTTATTGAAAATTAGAAAATAAAAAAAACTATTTAGACTACTTTTATGTATAGCTTTCACCATTATTTACATATTTTGCCAGCTTATTGATAGTTTCATAATTCAAAAAAGTCCTCAAAAAAGCGTTGTTGACGTGTGAATTCATGAGTGGAAAATTTCACGGAGCCCAAGCTCTTCTTAAGTGGTCAGAAAAGGTGGTAGTTCGATGGCGCCAAGTTTGAGCTACAAGGGTAATGCTCCAACACTACTGTAAGGCTGGCCGGGAGAAGAGGTATTACATGCGCAACTTTTCTTGAACGATGGATTGATGAAATGATGGTAGAGTGGGGCTATTATTTACGAAATCGACCACTAGATTTTATGAAGCGGTGCTAATCTCTGGAGAATCAGTATTGTCTTCACAATTTTCTCAATAATTTGTGATCTAACTTCCTCAGAAATTCGAAGTATCTCCTGTGATGGATCTTCAGCTGCTTCGGTCATTTCTTTATATTTTTTGGAGAAAATTACGGGCAGACGTTCTCGTCTTCAAAAGAAAATTGTTTGTATTTCGCGCCAGTGAAGATGTGCTTAGAATGTTCTCATCAGTGCTCGCTGCGAGCTTTTGCCTTCAACTGTTTATTGTGCCAGGGACGAAGAAGCAAGATCTCATTCAAGAAAAGTTGCGCGAACTAAGCAGCTGTTTAGTTTGCATTAACTTGTTAATTAATGGACGTGGTTTTCCGTAATTATTCTTCTCTACGTATATTAATAAGGTAAGTTTGAAATTGCTCATTAATTGCGTTTCTAGTTATTTTAATTGTATTGGTTTAAATTTGTGAAATTGGAAATGGTATTTTGTCTAAGTTTCCTATGAAAGGAAAATTATAAATTAAGTGGTGTACGGAATAGTTGCAAGTAGACGTAAATATTTGAAGTGTACAAGATAATGACCAATACAATTGAAAGTACTTGGAGTGCAATTAAGCGCCGATTGCCTAGGCATGGCGTTAAAGATCGATTTCAAACCTATCTTTTGGAATCTATGTGGAGAAAAAAATATGTCAAGAAAGATATTAGTGACATTATGTGCACATTCTTAAAATCTGTATAAAATGTTTGAGACTCCACAGAAAAAGTCTAGATGCGAGTAACATATTATAGCGGGAGCCTCCAATAATAGGAAATCGAAATTTAATAGTTAATTATTTTTGAAGACGTGACGCATGTTAAGAGTATATTTTGTAATGTTTAGTGTGTATGCTCTCAGAAGCTATGAATATCTGTATTGACGTGAAATACATTGATACGAAGATTCATACGTACAGGCGGCTTGAGAGAGGAGGGTATCTACCCAGTGTAATTCTTTCACTATTGATTGGGTAACAGCTGTAATATTGGGCCTAGTGTTGTCATGATGAAGAATAAATTCAACATTATGTATTGAATTCTTACGTCTTTTCGACCGGTAGACATCTTTAACCTTCCTCGAGAGTTCTCAATAGTCAATAAGCTGCATTATCTATTCGTTCCTCGTGCAGGAAAGAAACGTACACCACTCCTTTGGTATTTCAGAAAACAATCATTAGAACTTTATCGGGACACAAGGAGACTTGGTTTTGACGAGTACTGATTCATGTTTTGAACCCCATTCCATACTGAACTCTTTCGTTTCAGGAGTATGGTGGTGTTTCATCACATGTGAGAATACGTCTTACACGTGTCTTCTTCTGCATCATAACAATCCAAAAGTCTTTGAGAAGCTTCCATCGTTGCAGATTTCGAAAGTTTCAGTACCCACCCGCATAGATTTTCCAATATTGTAAGTGCTTTCTGATGCTTGTTAGCAAACCTGTTTTGTTTGTTAAGATAATGAAATTGTTTCACACGCATCATGAATAATGCCTTCATCTGCCACCACGAATAATGTTGTCCAATGTAATGGTCGTCCGCGGACGCTGAGCATCAGCGAGGTTGGGAAACGGCCGCCACCGAACGTCATGTACCATTTGCAGACTCGAGGTAATTCCTTCAAAATTTCTGATGGCTTCACACTGTCATTTCACAAAACCCGAATAATAATACGGTGCGCAACTGGAACGTGTGTTTTCTTAAACGATGTTACTGTCACAACTGCGCTTACGCGAATTTCGAATGCAATATTTATGGCAATAACTTACATTAATCTCTAAAAATCGGAAAGATATTTATTTTGGAGTGAGTTTTCTAGTTTGTAAATGCAGTAAAGGAACATTATAAACGAGTTGCATTTGAAATTTTTTGTACAACAGCATTATAAATTTATAAGAGAACCAACCTTAATTTTGTGAAACGACTTTCTGGTGACGTCTCCTGTATTAGACATCTGTGTGAGAACGGTGGAGGATGTTGCTTTCACATCTCTCTCTTCCGATTTTCTCGCTGTCATTAGCTGAATGTGTGATGACGCCATCATTCGTGCCAAAAAATCGTATACATCACCACTTGTGTCGTAAAATGCCCGAATATGAACAATTTCAGGCAACAGAAAAGGTAGTATAATGCTGGAATACAAAAAAGTATATTTTAGGCTCGTGGCGACAGTGTTACAATGACATTGGCGGAAAATAAGATCACTATTACAATGTTGATTTACGGTGAAACAGTGCGACAATGCTGCAGTACGTCACAGTGTAAAACTAATTTGCAAAAACGCCTTAAACAATACATTTTAAGGTTGCGCATTCGACAACCCATGCTGCAGATAAGCGAAAGGTAGCCAGTCGCAGGCAGTGTGTTTCACTGGTTACTAATTTATCTCCATCGTCTAAATTCTCGGAGCTGTATCTTTTTCTAACTGATATTTTTATGAAGCTTTCATGTTGTTCATTTTTTTGCATGTTTTTATTTCATTGTTAAGGA